GCTGGGGTAACATCGATCCCTCTCCATCCAGGGGGTGGTGAGATGTTAAACCGGCTTCTGCCCCCCTCGCAGAGCCACGCGGTGAGCATGTGGGGAGGGTTTTGGCTGGGCACCCAGGGGAGCATCCCTGGAGCACGCTGGTCCCCCACCCAGGCGGCCGCAGGGTGGGAAGGGGGAGCGCCAGGCTCCTGGCCTTACCTGGAACCCAAAGCAGATGGTGGGCATGGCATTGAAGACGGCTGTCCAGGTGGAGGGGCTGGTGGGAGAGAAACACCCACTGGTCAGATCAAGGCCCCCCCGTGTGCCCCACCCAGTGTCCCAGGGGAGGATGAGCCAGGGGTGCTCAGTGATGGGTTTGCTCTTCTGCTCTTACTGTGTCCCCCCACCCAGGACAATGCCTTTGCATGGAGTGAGGTTTTCCTGGGACCTGGTGCTCCCTGAAGACAGGGCCTTTCACCAAGACAGAACCAGCCAAACTTGAGGACTTAAAAAACTAAAAGTATCGGTAAAAAAATAAGAATCTACTTGAGCAGTGCCAAAAACCAGTCTAAACTTTGCTCTGCCCTAAAATTCCCACTGCCTACACTGGGTACATAAATATCCCCAAACCATGAGGGAGGGGACAAGCCACAGGGGCTGTGCTGGCCAAGAAAATAACCAAAATCATCCTGAAAAAGACACAGCCCTGGTTGCTGGGTGAGCACAAGCACTGCATGGGGAACCCTGGGCCTGGCTGTATCGGAGCGAAAAGTCCATCAGCTCTCCTCAAAACCTGCGATGGAGCCGTGGAAACTTCCAACAGGTCTTTTTCCACTCCTTCACCACCTGCTCCTCTGAAACGTGCAGAGATGCAGCCTCTTGGGAGCTTCTGGCAGCAACATGCAGTGTCCTTGGGCCCAGGGATGGGACTCGTGAAGGATTTGTCCACAACCTTTGCAGCCCTGGCTCCTGCCTGGCTCTGCAGTGCCGTGATGGCCCCCGCCAGCATCGTGTCTCTCGCACTCACCTGGTGGGGATCTCCACAGGCACCAGCTCCTTGTCAGGCCAGATGTACTTGATGATAATGACGGCTGTGACGTACCAGGTGCCGATCACGCTTAGGGAGCTGCAGGAGGGGACAGGAGAGCGACAGCGTGCTGCCTCCCCGCTCCGTAACGGGCTTCCTCCCAGCCTCTCCAGCCCCATCTTCCTCCCTGCACAGCCCAGGCCAGCCCACTCCTCCCCATCAGGCCCAGCCCTGCTCTCCCTTCCCGTGGGAATATGCCAGGTACTGTCACCCACTGTCCCCAGAGCAGATGCCAATGCAATCCCACTGTGCTCAGGGGCTGTCCTGTGCCTCTATGAGACCCATGGGCTGGGTTTTGGGCAGGAGAAAGAGGCGAGTGTTAAAGAAGTGACACTCCTCAGTAGCCCTGGCCCAGCTCCAGCAGTGAGGTTACACCAAGACGCTTGGTGGAGCCAGGCTGGCCTGCAGACCACCCGGCCCCGGGGACCCTTGCTGCCTCTCCTTTCTGCTAGATGGCCAAGTCCAAAGACAGGGCACAAACGCAGCTGAAAGCAGCTCTCCTCGCTTCTTCCAGTGAGCAGAAGGGAGGGACACAAGCCCCGGAGTACGAGGCTGCGGCTGCACAGTGCTCAGCAGCTCCTCTGCTTCCCAGATGAGGAAACCGAGGCACAGGAAGGCAGAGGAGGGGATGTCCAACCCCTCAGGGGCAAGCAAGTATGGAATCACGGCACTGCTACTCCCTGTCCGCTGGGATTGGGCTCAAGTGGGTGCTGGCTGGCCCAGCCCAGCCCTCCCCACCCACCTGGCGTATTTTTGGAAGCCGATCTCCTTGGGGATGGAGAGGGGCAGGATGAGGAGGAAGGCGGTGATGCTGATGGTGAACTTGCGGTCTGTGTACCAGCGGCTGCTCCCAGCTTCCTCGGGCTCCGTCACCAGAGCAGCAATGACTGCGGGGAGAACCGGGGCGGTCAGGTTGTCCCCTTCCAGCCAAAAGGACAGCAACGGACAGTTTTTCCCCACGTGGGATACACTTACTCTTGTCCTCTTGGTCTCCGATGATGATGAGGAAAGCGATGCAGGTGCCAAAGGTGTAGATGGCGATGGCCACCTCGCACAGCACGCCGGGCACCTTCCCGCAGACGGCCCACACAACCTCCTGGTAGGTCCGCTCGTTGCTGGCCTGCGAGCAGTACGCCAGGATGACCAAGCCTCCGATGATGAAGATCAACATGCACTGGAAGAGACAGGGAGGGGACACTGAGGCAACAGGGTGACAAGGTCCCCAAAGCCACCCCGAGCAGCCATCCCTGAACACACCGAGCATCTCTGGTGCACCTCATCCAACAGGGCTCCTTCCCAGCAGCCAGGTCCTCCCCGAGTCCCTTCTGGGGCTCCACACATCCCCCCCAAGCCCCTTCCCAGGCTGGGACAGGGGGACCGTCCCTTCCCCACCCTCTCACCATCTGCAGTGCGATGCCCGCGGCCACGCCGCCGGCCATGCTGAAGGCGGCGGGGAAGTTGAGCAACCCAGCCCCGAGGGCAGCGTTGACCACGATGAAGACGGCTCCCAAAGCCGACGTGGCCCCCAGACCGTTGCCCTGGCTCTCTCCGCTCTTCGGCACCGTCTCCACGCTGGGGCTCTGCAGGAGCCTGGCCCGTTCCCCGGCGTCGGCACTCCACTCCCAATCCTTGTAGTCGCTGTTGATGCTCCCAGTGCCCTGAGCCATCGTCCCTCCCAGGGCGGCACACGCCGCCATCCACCTCCCACTAGTGCTCCTGCAGCGGGCTCAGACGGTCGCCTCGAGGAGGGTCCTCTGCCAGTGCTGGCTCCATCGGGCTGGGACTGCAGCAGCGTGGGGGTCAGGCACTTCACTGCTCCTAGAAGGGGATTAAAAAGGACATGTGTTAATCAAGGTATGTTGGCAAGGGACAATCTGGGCATCGGATGGGGGCACCAGAGTAAATGAGTCTCAGCTTGGTGGGTCATGCCGGCAGAGATAGGGCAGAACTCGCCTCTCGTCCCCCCAAATCCAAAGGAAGGGACACCGCTGCCGTCCGACGGGGGACGGAGCCGCGGTGACGGGGCTGGGGAGCTGCAGCCTCACGGCAGGACTTGCCTGTCTGCGGGCACGAGACCCAGCGTCACGGCTCGCTTCCTGATTTCCAACCCCAATTCCTGCTAGCTCGGCAAGAGCCGCTTGCTCACGTGCTCCCGGGTAAAGGTCAAGTCTGGGCTCAACCAGAACGACCCACGTGGGCGGCAGAAACACCGTGTCACCAGGAAAAGCAGGACTGGCCCCTTCCAGTGCACCCCCAGGGTGACCAAAGGCACGGGATGTCTCAGAAGCTTTTGGACCTGAAGACCTGGTGTTTCCAGCACTGCAGCCCTTGGGGGCTGGACAGCCCAGGTCTCATTCCAGTGCCTCTGAGCTGAAGGAGATCAACCCTCACAACCTGGCAGGGCTTCGCAGGGACCTACATGGCCGAGGGAAATTCTTTTTCAAAGGAAACATCTTTTTTTCTTAGATGACATCTCCAGAGACTTCCTGTCCAGCCCACCCTTTGCTTCCAGGCTATTTAAACCCCATGCTGGCGCTATGAATCCTTTTCAAAGATTTCTGGGGAAGGGGAAAAAAAATCCCGCAGGTCTGCGCAGGGAAAGAAGAAAGGCAGCCGTCTCCCCCGGGGGTAGGAACACACAGGGACAGGTCCCAGGTCCCCACGCCGGTGGCCGTGGGTTTGCTTTGACCCGAAGCCCCTGCCTGGATGAAGAGGAGGGTCGATGCTTCTCCCCTGGCCGGAGGAGGATGCTGCAGGCTGCCCGGCTGCCCTTTCACCCCAGACAAAGCCACGGCGCCGATGACAACCAGAAACCCCGAGAAGCAGGCCCTTATCTCCGAGGGTGACTCAACCCCCGGCCCCGCGTGGGCCCCGCGGCGGCGCCCCACTCCGGAAAGCAGCAAGGTGACGGTCACCCCGCCTTTGCAGGGGAGATGCCCTCGGGAACGCGACGCGATCCCAGCGGGTGTCCCGGTGTGTCCCCCCCCCCCACCCGTGTCCCGGCCCCCACTCACCGGGCGGCGGGACCCCACTCCGCTCCGGCCCCGGGCCCGGCTCGGCGGCGGCGCAGCGCCGGCACCGCCCTGCCCGCTGCACGCCGGGGGTTGTAGTCCGCCCCTTCCCACACCTCACCCGCGACACGAGGGGGGGCGGCGAGGGGCTCTCCCACCCCGTTTCGGGAAAGCCCATCCCCGCCGCTCTGCAGCTTGAACGCGGAGAAACCCGCAAGCAAGGATGGGGAAGAGAAGGCAGGGCTGTGCTCCGGCTCTACTTTTATTGGAAGGGGTGGCAGATAGAAAACGCAATGGAAAAGGGCTCTGCGCAAGCGGGAGAGGCACGGAGAACCGGGGATCGCAGCGCAGGAACCCGCAGAGCCGCGGGGCAGCAGGGAAAGCAGTTTATTTATTGCTCAAATCGGAGCGGCTGTGGGCATCGGGGCCACGGAAACGAGGGTCGGTTAAATGTGAGAGTGTCTCGGGGAGCAGCGGGAGGCCCCAGCTCTGCTCGGGCTGCGTGTGCTATCGGCCTGCCCCGGCTCTGGGATTGAAAGGAGGACTGCTCTGCTAAACGCCTGGCTGCGGCTGCGAAAGGGACCGGCGCCAGCGGATGGAGAAAGCTCCCACGGACTCGGAGGGAACCCCCAAGGTGCCCCTGGGGATGCACCTTCGCCTGCTGCGAGGAGAAACTCCACTCCGGGGCAGGCGGCCTTCGGGAACTTGCGCTCTCTTCAGCGACACCCACGTTCAACCCCCAAGGCTTCAATTTTAGTTCCGTGACACCCAGTCCCGGCAGGGGTAACCTTAGCCCACACCCACCCCTGCTCTGGGGGCCCTCTCTCTACGTGGGATTCTCAGATGAGGGTTTCACAGAGGGAACGCTTGGTGGATGGAAGGGGTAAGATCCAGCTGTGCGACGACAAGAGGAAGCCCCCAGCTCGACACAGCCACGTGCATTTATTTGGATTAAAAATCAGACTCCAGTGAGTCACAGGGCCTCAGAGACTCTCGGTTTAGAAGCACAGAATGTTTTTTGTCACCAGCTCTGACTTTCCTTGGGATCTTTCCCTCCTGTTTTTTAGTGTCACCTGAAATTTGGCTGAAGAGAGCAGAGAGGGATACCCCGCACCCCATGCGAAGGTGGACAGAGCAGGGCCCACCCAAAGCTCATGGCTTTGGGACACACACAAGGAGGTTGGTACAGGAACGGGGCGAGGCAGAGACCAACAGAACAGTTTTCAGAAGAGGTTGTTATGAGGGTGGGGAGCGAGAAATTTTTTCATCTCAGGGCACAGGAGTGAAGTCAGAACCAGGCAGGTTTAGAGGAGGGACATGGGTCTGCCCCACTCACCACTGCATTACACCCGAGATTCCCAGATGGAAAGAGTGAAGCCACCAGTGGAGCAGATTTTAGTAGTGATAAGTCCTCCGAGCTGGTTGTTGGAGAGCAGCTTTGGCGCTGCCCAGCCCCAGGGCAGGAAGGTGGAGGAGGACGGAGGCTGGTGGCAGCAGGGACCAGCCGAGGAGGTGGCAACTGAGCAGCCCTCCTGCTCAGCCCCCTCAGGCCAGTGGCCAACACCTTCACAAAGCCTTACCCCGGAGAAAGGAGCGTGGGGAAGCCTTTGGTGCCTACGCTGGTTAGGATGAGTGCTAAGCATTCGCTCCCTCCAGCGCAGGCAGCTGCTGGGGCTGATGGACAAAGGCTGGACAGCAGGGGAGAACGGCTGTGACGAGCAGGAGCCAGCAATGATGACCCTGCTCCACCAGGCAGGGCGGTTTTTGATTAGGCTTCTACAACAACTCATCTACAAGATACATTCAGCAGCGGCGTCAAGTGTTGTGGATGGAAGTATTCTGCTTGTTTCCTTTCCTTCCCCATCTTCCACTGGTGGGGAAGGGAAAGCCACCAGCGCCAGAGCACACCTTTGTCTTTACTTTGTGACTTGATGGATGGCATGAGCCAGGTAGCCTACATTGCCTGATGTAACTCCCGCCACAGAGATTCGACCGTCCTTTGTCATATAGATGGAGAACTCCTTGATCAGCCGTTCCACCTGGGGTGAAAGAGCAGAATTCAAACCGCAGGCCAACCTCCCCTCTGTTAGCAGAGTGCAAATTCACCCAGCCAGCCAGGACTGAAAGCAAACCGAGTGCCTGCAGAGCCAGCAGTGCACCCTGTAAACCAAGGGAGATGCTGCTCGGCTCTCCGACAACACACAAACGCTGCAGGTATTCAGCTGAGAGAGTCACATCATCACTTGAGCTGAACTTTAAGGTCACCCCAGAGCAGCGCCAAGTGACTGCTTCCTTTGACAGATATGTCTGCTCTCAACCTCCACAAGCACAGCAGGGAACCGAGCAAGACTTGGGTCCCCATGATACTCCAGTGCTGAGGGCTTGGAGGATGTTCCTCCTGGAGGAAGAACTGCTTATGAGGGCTCATTTTGGCACCAGCAGTCGAGATCTTACTGACAAGGAGCGCAAACGACACCCTGAGACCCCAGGAACTGTTTTTACCTGCTCAGGCTTCAGCCCTGTGAAGCAGAACATGCCGATCTGGTCAGTGATGTGCTGCCAGTTGTGGGAGGATCCCTCTTTCTTGAGGTTGGACACCAGCTGAGTCCGCATGCTGATGATCCGGTCAGCCATGCCCTTCACCTCCACGAGCCTGAGAAGCCAACCCAGGAACTGCTCAGGGCTGGGATGCACCAACGCTGCTCAACCCCCGCAACTACCGGGAACCAACCCCCCTCCACCTGGAAAGGCCCCAATACCCCCAAAACACGGCGGATGCAGATGAACAAAGACCAGAGCTTGTGAAGCTGAAGCTCTGGCTAGGGAGCTGCTTCTTTCTCCTGGTACCTGAATGTATCTGCTATGTATTTATTCCATAGCTGTTGAACACTACTACCACAGTGTTGGCATCTCTCACTTCTGAAAGCTGTGGGTGAGGAAGAGGCCTCATGGCAGCACCGCCCAAACCCAGATAAAATATCTGCAGATAAATGGGGTACCTGCGGGGGTACCTCCCAGCGCAGGCAGACATCCCCTGCTCCAGGGCAGCACAGCTAGGAGACGTCTCTGCTGGTCCCTGGATCAGGCACAAGTGCCAGCCTGCCAAAGGAACACAGCTCCCAGCAAAGCCACAGCACACAGCCGGCCTTTGTTCTGCCAGGCCAGCTGCCGGCAGGGACTCGACACCGAGGGGCTGGGAGAGCTGCACAGGCTGACACCAGGAAGGAGGCTTAGAGCACGAGGGTCACATTCCTGGGTCTTATTCCCAGGGGGCTTATGCTTCCACTTCCCCATGTGACACATACTACATGGCTACACCACCTCAGTCAGTCTCTTCCACTCCTTGGATAGGCAGCTCCTGCAGCCCTCAATCCTAGGGAGCTTTATCCCCTCCTTTAGTGTTTTCTGCCTTGATAACGCAAGGGAAACCTGTTTGTGTCAGGCTGGACCGATACCAGCTGCTGCTAGGACATGAGCGGAGATTTCTCCAGAGGAAAGGGGTGGCACATGAGTCTGACTGTAGCCCTGAAGCTACGAGCTGCCCATGACAGCAGCAAACAGTAAGCACAGCACCGGGCTGCCACAAAGAGACCTCACATCTCACTGTCACGAGCATTAGGGATTCCCTCTCACCACTCCTTCCGTAGGTCAGGGGTGTTCAGGATGATAGAGGCGATGCGGGCTCCATTCAGGGGTGGGTTGGAGTACATAGGGCGGATGAGGATCTTCAGCTGTGACTCGACCCTCTTGGCTTCCTCTGCATCACTGCAGATCACTGTGAAGGCACCTGCACGCTCTCCTGAAAAAGGGGCAATCAGGTCCCCGCCTCTGACCTTGGGTACCCAGGGCTGGGGCAGGACTTGTCCAAATGCCACACAGCTTTAGCAGAGCCCTGGTCTCTAGAAGGGTCTCCACCAGCTCCCAGCAGGTTCTCTCCTGTGCCCCGACCAGCACCGCAGGATGAATACAGGCAGCGGAAACACACTGGTTGCTAAACCCCGGAGTCTCTCCAGCAGCCTGGAGGAAACCATTTCCACACTACCTGCCCTACTCACCATACAGCCCCATGTTCTTGGCGTAGGACTGCGATAAGACGACGTTGATGCCCTGCTCGATGAAATACCGCACAGCCCAGGCATCCCGGTTGATGTCCCCACTGGCAAAGCCCTGGTAGGCCATGTCAAAGTACACGAGGAGGTTTCGTTTCTGCCAGTAAAGAGGGGAGAGAGTGTCACAGGAGCTCAACGCCCCTCCAGGGATCAGGGTAGCAGGCTGAAAAGAGCCATGCAAGCAGCGGCCTGCTCAATGGCAACTGTGCTCTTCCAGAAGTTGTTCCCCTTTGTTTGCCACAGGGAAGGCAGCCCACAACCCACAGCTACCCACCACACATCATAACAGCAGGTCAGGACCTTCACAGTGCATTTATGGGATGTGCAGTCTGGCCCAGAAGGCAGAAGTAGGTTCAGCAGTAATAAATGATTCCATTTCAGTGTCTCCTGTATTATCAGTTTCCAGGAAAACCAGCTGGGAGCCCTCTGGGCAGATGCCAGCCCTCCCAACGCCTCCAGGCAGACAACCCAGCCACACTGCCCCTCTGTCAGGAGACCCACAGCCATCTCTAGGACCCAGAGGTCACTTTAATACCTACCAGTTCTCAGGACACTACGAAGGCCAGGCATCCCCAAGCTAAATTCCGTCAGCTACAGCTTGGGGGATCAGCAGGAAGGAAGAGGAGAAGGATGAAGGAAGAACCTGCCTCTATCTGTTTCCAGCTGAAACTTGTGAATAGACACCAAGCACGTAAAAGATCTCCCAGCACTTTTAATACACCAGCATTGGGAGCCCCGCTCCAGCTATCACAGCTTACTCTTTCAACCCCGCTGCTCTCCTTTCAGGCTTCCCTACCCCACCTTCCTGGGAAGGTGCCAGCAGAATGGTCAGTTAGAAGCTTTATGGGTGCATTTGTTTGATTCCTGTCTTCAGTACAGGAACATGACACCCATCCTGGCTTCAGGGAAGGGAGTAACCTTTAGCGCAGTGAAGGCCAGAGATGTGGTTTTCCCAGGAACAGCACAGCACCCCTGGGACACTCCACTGCTCACCTTCACCGTAGCTGCCAATTCCTTCCATTGCTCCTGCCGGGGATCCACCCCAGTGGGGTTGTGAGCACAAGCATGCAAGAGGATGATGCTCTTCTCTGGAATTTTCTAAGAAAGATATTACAGAAAATGAATTATTAATGACATCTGAGCATTCTCCTGAGCAGCTGAGATGAAACTCTTGCCCTAGATAGCTTAGATGAGCTCTGCAAGGCTTCTAGCCTTGATTTGGTGCTTTCAGGCATCATATTTAGGCTAAAGGAAGATCACCCATCGTCCCGCAACACCCCCCTGCTTCCAGGCGTGAAAGGCAGCTCACAGAAATGTCATCCATGGCTCCAGAGAAGTCAAGGCTGCACGTCTTGGGGTCGTAGTAGCGGTAAGCCTGAAGTTGCAATCCAGCATCACGGAAAATAGGTGTGTGATTGCCCCAGGATGGTTTGGGTAGATACACATCACGGCTAGACTTGAAGAACCGTTGCTGATCAAGAGAAAGACAGCATTCAAACACGCTGAAGCAATTAGAAAACCCCAGAGATTCAGCTCCAGTCAAAACGTGTCATTTCCTTCCCCCACCAGCCAGGGACTCACCAAAAAGTTGGCTCCAATTCGCAGAGATCCAGTCCCGGAAATACCCTGCACAGTGACGTACTGCAAGGGCAGAAACAAGTAGATGAGTCTGAGCAGTCAGGGTATGATACCATGAAAGCCCAGCCACTACGTCAGCATTGGCAAAACCACAGCAAAACAGGGACATGGGGCTGGAGGGGACTGCATGGGTCAGTGACTCCAGCTGCAAGGTAGGAAGTTGGAACCCCTGGCAAGGTCAAATCCGCTCCTTAGGAAGGGCTGTTTAACCCCAGCCTTCAGAGAAAGCAGTTATCCTTGGGCCCAGCCAGCCTGCAATTCAGAGGTAAGAACACCCCTGCCAGTTCTTCCACTTTTGCTGGACACCCACGTACCAACCGTGCGTCAGACAGCGCTGCCCACCCCCTGTTTCCCAGCCTCCTCCTTACCCGGCCGCTCTTGAAAGCTTCACTGTTTTCACCCAGAGCCAGTTCTGCGGATGCCCGGGTGAAATCTGCTAGCCCCGCAATGGGCAAGTACTCCTTGTCCATCTTCTTGGATGCTATCATGGCCTCCGCCTGGGAAGGAGAACACACATTCAGCAAGGAGGGCACCACCGTGGAGGGGATGGTGGACAGCTCAAAGTCACTTCTCTTCACATTTGCTCGCTCAAAAGGGGCAAAGCTTGGTTTAGAGGAGTTTCCTTTCAGAGACCAGGGCTCCTCCCAAGGAAGGGGCAGCAGTAAACATTTCAGATGAAACCCTGCTTTTACCATGGGGAACAGTGCTCAGCAACCACCAGAGCCCACAGTGGGTGCGACCGTCGGTAGAGCAGAGCCAGAAAACCTGGCACCAGAGGAGAACACCACCTCCGAGTCAACACTGCTGCCCAAGGACACGCATTTCTTTGCCCAAGCAGGAATTGTCCTGCAGGAAGGCGAGACCTGACTGTTACTGAAAAGCAGAGATTGTCTCTACAAAGGGAGACATCCCCAAATCAGGTAGGGTAGCAAACCTTTTGTAGGGCTTAATCATGCTGGGAGTGTTATTGAACTAGATGGAGCAGGTTGTAAGGAATTAATCCAGAAACCCCAGACAGTTTTGAAAGCAGCCTGCGTGAAAGCTAGCTCACCCAACCCTTATATGTGTCTCTCCCCAGCTTCACTAATCTCTACTTCTTTCAAGCAGATTCTGCATCAGACCAAGTCCTTACCCAAGAGAGGATCAGAGAGTGGAAGCAAAGACAGCAAATAAGGAGCCATGCTCAGGAAAAAATGCAGTGATAGAGACATCTGGAACACTCTGGGAACCCTATTTGTGCTCCCAGGGCAGTGAGACAGACCCTGGCAATATTCACATACTGCCAGGGAACTGTTCCCCTAACACCACTCAGGCTCCTGGTTGTGACCCAGCTGCAAGACACACTGACACAGGGAGAGCGAAGGCAAGGGATGGCTTTAAACCCCACGCTGATGAGAAACATGGACAAGGCATCCTCCCTACGCCAAGTCTATACACGTGTCAGCTGCCAGCTATTTAACAGCCTACTCCTACGCTTACAGCCCTGCAAGGCTCTGTAATCTCCTCAAGGGCAGTGTCCACAGCCAGCTCCCTGGGCTGGAGTTTCAGACTGGCTTATGGAAAAACTGGTAACAATGGCTCAGTAGAATTTCTAAGACTAATCCATCACGGGGACAATGTCAGCTCTCTCCTCCCACGTGGGCTGGCCCAGGCAACACCAGCCTATTCAAGAAGCACCTCAAAGTTCAGAGGACAGCTAGGTTGGAGGGCTCATGGAAGTCAGGGATGAATTAGATTAACCTGGGTGGGAACAGGGCGTATTCCCTGTTTTATCCCCTACTAAACAGCTCTGTTGTGTCTCAAAAACATTAGTACTGCTAAGGGAGACATCCAGGAACACTGTCCTGTTGTTAGAGACAAATCTTATTCTAGGGGCCAAGAGACAAACCTTGCTTAAAGGCCTTCCCTCTCCCTGACCCCCCCAGGGTGCCCAACACCTGGATCCAGCCCTGCCCAGCAGCCAACACCGGGTTCACCTTGCGAACACAGTTCAGCACCAGGCTTACCTTGCGAACACAGTTCAGGACAAACGGCTTCCCATTGTCATCCCGGTACGCCCCCACACCCAGATTCATCTTCTTGGAGTTGGTGTCGCGCTTGAAAGCTTCTGTCACTCCCAGGATGGGGTCGGGGGGACCCATCTCCACATGGGACCACCATGAGCTGAAGAGAAAAAAAAGCAGCAAAGAATTAGGCTTGAGAACTGGGCAGGGATGTGCACCAAGATGGGTAGAGAGAAAACCTCAAGGGAAATCATGTCTTTAAACCACTGTAAAAGGTATAAGCAATGCTGAGAGAATTATCCAGGGGAAAAAACCCAAACAACTCCTTTAAGATCTGTTATCTGGCACTGAATTTTACATTGCAGAATGGGTAGAGTCTCAGTTCACTGTGGGTGAAGATAATTGACTCCCTCCACTTCATTAACATGTAGAAATGGCTCTGCTTGCTCTATGTGCTGACACCAGAAAGGCCCCAGGAAACAGAAACCTTAAACTCTTATGCTCTGGCTAAGTGCTGTCCCTTCTCAGCCTACAGGTAGGATCGTGTAGGTTAGTCCCCTCCAGAGAACCTCGGCCAGCAATTGCACAAAGCATGAATACGGAGCCTCTTCCAAAATCCTGGAAGGGCTCTTGTGCATGAAAACTAATCTGCTTTTCCTGAAGCACTGGCTGGCCTCATCAACACGTGTCCCTTCCCTGCCCTACAAACTCTGCCTCGCTTCAGAAGGGATGTCATAGCCAAATGCTACTTACCTGGAAATCACAGAGGACACGTTCTTCCCAGTGTGACAACCTCCAGTGTGGAGGCCCCTTCCCTTGCTGACAAGCACAAAGCCTCCCTGCGTCAGGAGGAGCTTTGTGCCCCACTCCCCAGCAGCCACTCTACAAACCACCTGCCTCTGCTCTGTTGGCAGGACATCCTGAAGACAGAGAGGCTCTCTTAATGTCAAGGGCAGAGCAGACCACGCTATAAAAAGTAACCCGTTATTCTCTCTTTGGCTACAGCCGCTGCCCAGTCCCACATCCAGGCTTTGCAGGCTTGTAGGTACTGCAAGAGAAGTGGGGTGGTGGTTTTTAACCTGCCTAGCAGAGGGCAACGGCTGTAACAGCCCCCTCCTGAAGACAGGATAACTAAAGAAGCCCGACTCCACGCAGCTCTGAGCATCCTGACTCACAGCATCAACTGACACTTACCTAGACCCCTGATCTCGGCAGAGGCAAAGCATGCAGCATAAGGTAGATTGGGTTTATCTCCTCTGGGGCAGGATTCAGTCTTGATTGCTAAGGAAAAGCTCCCAGAGCTAATGCTGCCACATATCAGCTTTACCAAGCTTTGCAGCCCGGGGAAGGCTGCCACAAGTGAAGACAAGAAGCTTTTGCAACACAGAAATGCTGTCCCTGGGGCTGGATCCTGCTCCAGGCCATGCAGGCAGCCTGGAGCCACCCCCAAGCCAGCCAGACCTCCTGCTGAGTGCTCAGTGTGGTGACAGATTTGAAGGCAGCAGGGCCAGGTGAGTTGAAGGAAGCTCTAACGTGATCAGTACAACTCAGAAAATCATCTTCCCTCTCCACTGTCCTTGTTTTGGGTCCATTTAGATCCAGTTTATTCACTCCATAAACGTATTTTACATTAGCATACGTATATAGATTGCATATCATGGAGCCTCAAACGTCATTTGTCCTCTTGACTTAACTGCTCTTCCCATCAGTACAGTATTTCCAAATAAAGAGCCTCCATTTCTCCTCTTGGCAGACTCTAGAAAAAACAGCAGCCAACGAGTAGGCAGAGCCACCTCAGGTAGTTTAAAAATGGAAGATCTGTTTATGTTTTCTAGACCACTAACAAGTCTTAATTACCTCTCTGGTTAAGCACAGGATCAACTTAGAAAGGAGGATGAGTCAGTCATGCCAGCAACACACACCCTCCAGAGAGGAACACGGGCTGCAGCCCTGCAGAGCCAACCTGAGCAGGACACGCCAAGGGTGCTGGCAGGGTAAAAACCGACTGCAGGTTCAGGCAGCATGCAATGATGCTTTGGAAACCCCCTCCCAACGCCCTCCTGGCAACGTAGGGGTGTGGGAAGAAAGAAACACCCTCTGCACAGGAGTGTATCCCCCTGCAGTTTACCTGGTCTGGGATTATTTTGGTATCGAGGGTATATATATTTGGTATCTAAGATGGTGAGAGCACCTTCTTTCTGCTGGGCTTATCACCAAGCAGCTTACAGTTTTGGGTATTTAGGTCCCGATCCTGCAAACACTTAAGCAGGTCACTGGGCTCTAATATACTACTGCTGCAATTAATGCTGATCCTGATAAGCACTCCGAAGAGTTAAGTACTTTTGTTCTGAGCCCGTCTTTCTATCAGCTTAAGGCAGCAAATGGTAGGTTTAGGACTGATTTTCCCATTCTCAGCCTGAAGATTTTGGAGTGAGGGCCAAAGGCAGATTCCTCTGCTCTTTCCAGGGAGGTGAGCTTGCAGGGAGACAGGAGAAAAAAGTCCACGCTGAGTTGTCCAAGCCCATCAGGATGCCCAAGAAAACAGAAGCAAAGCTTTATAGACAAGGGTTTGGGAAAAGGATCTACTAGGGATCCAAGGCCACAAGTCCTAACACACTGCTACCTGTATATTACCATAATGTTGTCTCTGCACTGTATTATATTTTATTTTGAGCAATTAAAAGAGCATTTGTCTTGAACAAAGGTCAAAGTTATAAACTGCACATCTTTGCTGCCAGGCTGGAGGTATTTCAGTGCGGAAAACTAAACAAAGGTAAATTTAAGCTGGGATTGAACTACCTGAGGGATACCCTGGTTTTCTGAGCCAGTTTAATGCAAGTGCAGTGTGACAGATGGGACAGAGGGCAGGAAAATGCACCAGGAACTGCGTAAACCAGTAACACCCTTTCAAAATGTATGTGGAACTCATGGCCTGAGCTACAAAGACCTAGAAGCGTACTTATGGCCTCAAGCCAAGCCCAGAAAGCAATTCTTTCTCTAGGTAAGCCAGCACTTACAAGTCCAGTGAAGGTTTCCATTGTGAAGAGGCCAATCCAGCTTCCCTGAGGTACAGCTATGTAAGATACAGGATTTCAAAACCTCTGCCAAAGCCCCTGCAGCACTTCTGCAAGCAGGAGCAGAGCGGAGGGGCCAAAGGCGATGCTGTCTGGATACCACAGCTAACGCAAATATTTACACAAGAACAATGCCAACAGGCTGCCCTGGCTGTCATGGTTCTTTCAAGCCTAAAATTTAATTGCCCCCGTCAGCTGCGGTAAGCTTCTCACCAAGCAAAACATTTAAAATAGCTGTCTCCTCATACATCAGGGCAGCAGACTGAGTTATCATCTTAATTAGCATTTGTGTGTTGAGGGAGTCATTTTAACCGTTTCATATCTCTTCACCTCTGTCCTGATTTCAGAAAGACCATTCTCAGCACAGAACAATGGTAACAGCTCTGAGCACCACGTGAAGTTGCTGAAGATAAGGAAACAGAAACTGCTAACCCCTGCTTGGCATCCCCTGCCACGGGATAAGGAGCCACACTTTGGCAACAAGGGGGCTGTGCACACCTTTATTTACAAAAGGGATGGCCTGCATCTCTTTTACGTGACCTCAATTCAATTTGGTAATTTATAGTTTGCTGTGTAACAAGCTTGAGAAAAGCAAAGCTATTACCAGTGGGCCTGTATACCTTTAACAGGCCGGCTCCAATCCACGGGCAGGAGACACAAGTTCTAGATGGCTGCTCTCCCAAACCTGATGAGAAGGGCCAGAAGGCTGCCTCAGAAGCAGCAGGGTCTGGAAGCATTCATCTCACAAGGCAGCGAGGGGTCACGCTGGACAGAACAGTGTTAATCAATATCTAATAGCCTTCTTTGTCTGCTGAAATGAGGAAATAAAATCCCACTGCTTCCCTGCTCTGACAAGGGCTGGGAACTGATCCTTAAAACTTCCTGAGCCAGCACAGGCCAGGAGTCAAATGGCTCTGGAGAGCAGCAAGGCCTTGCCCGGACCCCTTTGCCCATTCTGCTTCTCAGCCAGCTGGTCATGGTGAGTGTTGCCTCTCAGGTCAGCTGTACTTCGTGGAGCCGTTCCGGGTTCTTCACAGGGTTCCAGCCTCACCCTGTATCCTTCTCTCCATCACTCCACTGTCTTCGGAGACAGCAGAACCCAGAGCTGCCAGCACAGAAAGCAGTCCTCACCGCAACACTCTGGCTCCCACCTCGCTGGCAGGGCCGCACCTCCGAAGGCGCAGCTCTAGCGCCAGGCAGCCGCACCCCCCAGCCCTCATTTCGCTCCGTTACCGGCGGGGTGGGTGTCCCCCACGCCCCGTTGCACGCTGCAGACACTCCCCCCCCCCCCCCCCCACTCCGCAGCGTCCTCGTTTCCCGTCGCACAGCACCGGCAGCGCGAGCACGCCGGGCCCCCAGTGCGCGTGCGCGTGCCGCCCTCCTCCCCACCCCCCCGCTGTTCCTCAAGGGGGCCCGGCCGCAGCCAATCAGAGCGCGAGGAGGCGCCGCGCGCCCCCGCCGATCCCGCGCGCCGTCCCCTCAGCAACCCCCTTCCCCCCTCCCGCCTCACAGCGGCGCCCGGCACCGGGAAGGCCCCTCCACCGCGGCACCGGAGGGGGAGGCCCCAAGGGTTGGGTCGACCCCCAAGCCCTCTCACCTGGCACGGGTGGCGGTGGCGGCGAAGCGCGGGGCGACGAGGAGCCGGCGGGTGTGCAGCAGAGCCATGGCGGCGGGCACCCAGCGGGCTGGCGAACGGACTCCCTCACGCCGCGGCCGCCGGGCTCGCGCCCCGCCCCGCGCATGCGCCGCGCCCACCAACCGCACGCCCCGCTAGGAACGCGGCCACCGCCGGCCCCCTGGCGGCCGGGAGGTCTCGCTGCAGCCGCGCCGCCCGCCCGCGCCTGCGCCGTACTGGGATGTCGCGGGAACGCGCAGCGCGGCGCTGGTCTGTACCGGGTTAGCTTGTACCGGGCGGTACTGGGACCGCACTAGGCTGTACAGCGATATACTGGGCTGCGCTTAACTGTATACGGCTCTACACCACCATATGGGGCCATACGGGCCTGTACAGGGCGGTATGGCGCCACACTGATCTACCTCTACAGGATTGTAATGGACCATACTGGGCTGTAGTTGGCCGTATGGAGCTGTACAGGGCTGTGTAGAACTGTATTGGGCCATACTGGGCTGTATGGGGCTGTACGTGGCCATAAAGGACTGCACTGTTCCGTACTGGGCTGTACTGGGCCGTGCATGGCTGTAGTTAGCTGTTGTGATAAATAATAGAAGAATTTTGCTTTCGCTAAAAGTAATTAAACAATTACTTCTTAGGCTAAAGCTATTATTAGTACAATGATCCAAATTTTAAGAAAAGTAAAAGACTTTACTACTGGGAAAAGAAAAGGGGGGAATTGATCTGAGGAAACACCAACCCAACAGCCCCCCCCTCCTTGGGATGCTCACCAGATGGTCCATATCAAAGGGTGGTAACTCCTTTGCAATGGAATGAGAAAGAACAGAATGGGCCATCCCTGGTATCCCTTGTCCTTGAGAGAAGAGAGGAACTGAAACCACTGAGCCATAAAAGACAAAGGAGCTGCAAATTGGCCCAGACTTGAAGGACAAGGTGTAGGTGACCACAGGGCTGAAGAAAGAAGAAGATAAGATTGTAGAAGAAGCCAGGAGGCGTGCCGAAGGTGTTGAAACCGGCAGCTGTGTGGATAAAAGGGGGTTTGAAACTTAAACAATTTGGTGAGCCTGGATGGAGCTGCGACTCCTCGGCCACCCCAGCACTGCATTTGCTTTCTTACCTTAATAAAGATTCATTAATCCATATTTGGATGTGATTGGCCTTAATCTACCTATAAGAAAATTTGGTGCCGTGACTCGGATCCAGACAACTGACTCGGAATTCAATTCTGGGAGGGTGCCCCCATCCTTGGATGGTCCCAGGGGGAATCCCGACCAGGCTCACCTGGATTTTCCGAACTGAGATAGGAGAGCAAAGAGGATACGGGGTGGGGGATCGGACTCCCCGGTAACACCCCAAGACGGCCGTTCCCCATAATATTTGTGCACGAAGACCGAATGAAGACTCTGGACTGAGTGAGTAAATTGCGATACTATTCGGTTGGGGATTGGGTACCCGGAGTGTGAGTGATTGAGACGTCCACCAGACTTAGGAGTCCAACGGGTGAAGCGAGCGTGGACCTCCCACTAGTGCGGTTCCCACTGCCCGCAAGGGCGTGGGCCACGAACGGGGGAAAGCGAGTGACTCGTGTGACAGAAGGCACTGCCCGAAGATGGGCCAGAAGAAGAGTAAGGCTTCTGGCACCATACAGAATAAGCAGGGTGGGGGTGGTGAACTCCCTAAAATACCTCCAGATAGTCCGTTAGGGCTTATGATTCAGCATTGGGATAGTTCCCCCTCCCGAAGAAAAAAATATCTAGGGAAAAGATGATCCATTATCGTATGGAAGTATGGGAGGGGAAGGAGATAAGTAGGGATTCATATTGGCCAGTTTATGGCTCTTTCGAAGATTGGATATGTCAACAATTAAATATTTATGTAAATGACAAACAGCCATTTAATAAGGAGGAGAGTGAATACGACTTCTTATGGATTCTACGTACATCATGAACCTCAAATTTATTTCCGCTAAAGGAAAAGAAAAACAACAAGAAAAAGAAGGATATAGATGACACTCCACCTCCTCCTCCTCTCTATTTTTCCCCTTTTTAATCTACCCCAAGACTCTGGGCGGGATTCTTCTCCCTCCGCTCCCTCAGAGTCCCCGTTAATTAAAAAAAATTCAATTCTGAGTCTGATGAGGCAGTAATTCCTCCTCCACCTAGGAGGACGACTAGAAGTCAGACTCGGGAAAGCAGAAGGGAAACATTATTATATCCGTTAAGGGAAACAGCAATGGGAGGACCCCAGCCTGGAGTTGGTTTTGTATCGATCCCACTCAGCTCTGGGGATGTGAGAGAATTTAAGAAAAATTGGGACACTTATTGGAGGACCCTCTAGGAGGTGGCAGAACGGTTTGATCAGTTCCTTGGCCCAAATATTTACACCTGGGATGAGATGGAATCCATCTTGAGAATCTTATTTACTAGTGAGGAACGAGGAATGATCAGAACCGCTGGTATGAGACATTGGGACCAAAGACATCAACAAGGACCCGCTGGGGATACAAAGTGGCCCCCCCAGTGACCTAATTGGAATAATTAAGACCCGGTCCATAGAAATAATATGATCGACCTCCAAGACATGATAATTCAAGGAATTAGAGATTCAGTACCGAGGGGGCAGAACATTAATAAGGCCTTCAATGAACAACAAAAGAAGGACGAGACCCCCACTGAATGGTTAGAGCATCTAAGGAAGGGGTTGCAATTATATTCAGGTCTGGACCCTGATAGTCCGGTGGGTCAGGCCCTATTTAAGACCCAGTTTGTGGCTAAATCCTGGATGGATATAAGAAAGAAACTAGGAGCTAGATAGTTGAGTTCCCAGGGTAATAGGGAGCCAAGGTTTGCCACATTTCCCACAGGAAAGGCTGGGAAGAAAAGCCTAGCGGTGGGGGAAAAAAAAAAAAAAAAAAAAAAAAAAAAAAAAAGAACAAGAAATTACCAGGTGGTATTCCATCAGACACTCCATTAGGAAAGAAGTTAACAAACTGGGATTACAGCCCATATATCAGAGGAAAGAGTAAAATCAAGATGGTAAATTATTGTATGTTTAAATGGATTAAAGGACCTATCAGGAAAGATTCGATGTATTGGCCAAAATATGGATCAGAAGAGGACTGGATTTGTTAAGCTCTTAATATTTGTTAATTCAAAGGAACCATTTAATCAAGAAGAAAGTGAATATGCCTCATGTTGGAAGGGGTTGCGGAGATTTGGGATTTTTTTTTAAATTGAAGCAGGGGGAGGTTGAAGAAGGTGAAAGGGAAAGGAAGGAGATGGGACCCTTTGGATAATTTACCCCCCCCATATAACCCGGCACACCTAGAAAATCAAGGGGTGAAGGGGGTGCAGCAGGAAGATGCGGGTGAGGAGGCCCCTGTTGTTAATATCAGACCTGAAACCCAGCAGCAACGAAGTGGGGGGAATTGTTTAAGGGAGCATGGGGAGACTAGGGTTAATCCCTTGCGGGGAAGTTCCAGGCTGTCAGAGGAGATTGATCAATTTCTGGGACCTTATATATATATACATGGGAGGAGATGCAGTCGATTATGGGGATCCTTTTTTCCCCTGAAGAGAGAGAGATGATCAGAACGGCTGGAATGTGGATATGGGAGAGAGAAAATCAGCAGGGGATACCCGGGGAACAGAAACTCCCTGTAACCCCTCTGCAGTGGAGTCAGAATGCACAAGAGGGGAGGAGAGATATGAGTGACTATACGTCATTATAATAAGAGTCTGGATGAACTCCTGAGAGAAGCCCAGAAAGTATATGTTAGGAAGGATGAAAAAAAAAAAAAAAAACAACAAAAACCCCACAACTATAACTAAAGCTAAAATTATGATAACTGCACAAGAGGCTGTTAGAAATAAACACAGGGAATCCGCTAGGGAAATCCCAAGGGGATTTTTTTTTTTTTTTTTTTTTTTTATTGTGGGAAAGGGAGGGGGGCATTGTAAACAAGAATGCCCCCAGAAAATATCGGACCTGTTGGTGTTTGAAGTAACCCAACAGGATGAGGGTGGTAATCACTAGGGGTGTCAGGAGCTCTACCTCTTTGGGGGTATACCAACAGAAGAGCCCTTGATAAATTTGAAGTTAAGTCCCCAGGAGGAAGATTAGGTAAAAGATACAGCCTGGGCTGTATGGGCCAAAGGCAAAGGGTTTTTGGTCCCAGTTATAAAGAATGTGTTAATACAAGGGGAAGATCAATATGCTGTTAATGATCTGTTGTTAATGTCAGGGGTAGGATGTAATTGCTAGGTAGAGATTTACAAGTGCAATTAGGAATAGGTGTGGTGCTGGATGAAGGAAAACTGGTGGTTAAATTACTAGAATTATGGGAGGAGAATCGGGGAGGATATTCAGGAACCAGAGCATGACTGTGTGGATTTTATAAGTTATCAAACGAAAATAAGAGAAGATCTGTTAGCTGAACCTTTGCCCTATAGGGAAAAAACTATTTATTGATGGGTCCTCTCGATGCCTAGAAGGGAAAAGAATATTGGGTTATGCAATTATCGAGGGGGCAGAAGATGGAAGTGTTTGAAAAGGGGAAATTACCTGCTGGCTGGTCAGCACAAGCCTGTGAACTCTATGCCCTAAAACAGGCATTGGTATATTTGAGAGATAAGGAAGGGACAGTGTACACAGACTTAAAGTATGCATTTGGAGTGGTCCACACATTTGGAAAATATGGGAAAGAAGAGGGCTTATAAATACAAAAGGGAAGGAGCTAGTACACGAGCGGCTGATCAGAGAAGTTTTAGAAGCCCTGAAGCTCCCTACAGAAATTGCAATTGTGCATGTGAAAGGACATCAGAGGGGAGCATCGATGGAAATAAGGGGGAATAATTTAGCAGATTAAGTAGCCAGAGAAGCAGCTACAGAATTATCATCAGTAGTTTTATTGGTAATAACAACGGGGGATTATGAGAATTTAGCCCTGAATTTCACAGAACAAGAGAAGGTTACACTTAAAAATAGGGGGGAAAAAGATCCAGAAGGAAAATGGACTTTACCAGATGGAAGGTAGATGTTAAATAAAACATTATCATGAGAAAATCTGTCATTAATACATCAGAAAATACATTGGGGAACGCAATCACTTTGTGATCATTTTCTT